CTAAAGCCTGCCGCACACGGTGTGTCTTGTGCTGCGCCATCAGGCACGCGTGTCCGATGGCGCAGCACAAGACACACCGTGTGCGGCAGGCTTTAGGCTTGTGGGAGAAAGTGGAATTAGCGTGGCGCGGACGCGTCATTTAAGACGGGTCACAAGGTGTAATGAATTCGGATACAGTATAGTAAGACTAGTAACGAGATACGCGCTCGCTTACCTGATCTTTGCAACGAGGCATGGAATACTTTCATGCTGTGAAATAAACGCTTGTTGACCAGGATAAGCCGATATACGAGTGTCGGTATGAAGTGACATCTATAATAAAAAACAACATTTATAATGGATGTTAAAATACACGCTTACCAAGCGCTGTGTTAAATAAAGTAGAATAATGTATTACAAAATATCACTAGAATAAACAAGATGGGCGATGTATACAAGAACAAACAACATGCATCGTAGATTCTTTTTGAATCCATTAAACGGATATAATAACCGCAGAGAGTAAATAAAGAGGGTAACAACATCACGTGAGACTTTCAACGGTCACTTGAAAGGTTTGATTTAAATACAATTCATAAAAGGAATACAGGCGAGGGTCACGGATTTGAAATATTAGATGTCGAATTCCACTTATATCTGGAAAGATGTTACATTTCGGGGTAATGCGCAGTTGATAACTGTGGTGCGCATGCGGTCGAAAACAGACGGTATGCTAACCGTAAAGGTTTAGTACAAACAACGTGACATAAACCAGAGAATAGAGCCGACCTCGGGTTCTTATCTGACAACGAAATAATATGCGTCCTTATAAACACACACTTGTAAATACACACTGATACAAATTTAACGTACGTTTTTAAACAAACAATCTCCTAAATAATAGGCGTTTGACCAAGCTTTTTAGTAACAACTCAAACCTATGTCCCCTGAACGTATTGAAAGATAATTGCAATAATCAAATTATCAACACAATTTCACACTTAGATAACGTAAGATTCATGTACATACCTTTATCGAAAACGTCGGGAAACAATTCTGTCTTACAGCACTTTTAACTTATATAAGACTCTAAGACTGAGGATTTCGCCGATTTAAAAACACAAATTATCAACTCCTTTTGTCCCAACGATATGGCTGCTCTCGACTCACTCCGATTCAATCCATCAAGTGAATCAGTATGAGGTCACGTGACAGCACAGAAACCGTATATAGCAACCGTTTCGACAACTGACAAGGTTGTCGTTGTCATGCTGAATAGTGTTGCGTGAGATTGCAATGCGAATATAATGAAGTTCTCAATGAACCGTTTATATTTCATGAATTTCATCATATCTGTATAACTTTATTAATTTATAATGTTACTTCTTATGTAATTATTTATGCTCAAATTGTTAAAACCCGATGACTAGTTAGAATTTAACATAGCGCTACAATACGTGTACTTATGCACGCGCGCGCGTGCGTGTATGTATAATAATATAATATATATCATACTATATATAGTGGTGTGTGTGTGTGTGTGTGTGTTGTGTGTGTGTGTGTGTGGTGTGTGTGTGTGGTGCGTGTGCGTGCGTGGGGCGTGCGTGCGTGGTGCTCTGCCTGTGATGCTGTGCGTAGCTGTTGGCCTGGTGTGTGTGGCCGCGTGCATGCAAGGCGCTGCTCAACAGTAAGCAAGAGTGCCGTGCTCCCAGTCCTATATACCCATCCGGCCACTACGCCGAGATATATATATTATAATATATACGATATATATATAATATATATATATAGAGAGAGAGAGAGAGAGAGCAGAGAGAGAGAGAGAGAGAGAGAGGAGGGAGGAGAGAGAGAGAGAGAGA